CGTACGAACGACTATATATATATATATATATATATATATATATATATATATCTGCTTTTACTGATGGAAAAATGATTGAAAATCTCGTCTGGATTATTCAACATTATCGAATAATCTCTTTTCGTTAAATTCACATTGAATTATTTTTAAGCGAGATACGATATAAAATAGATACAAATTGTTATGTTTAATTCGGGAAAAATAATTTCAAAATTTATTTTATCAAAAATTGCTAAAAATTGAAGCAACGATTGTTATAATATTTATTCTGTAAATTTCTACATAAAATAATACACGCGTTGAAGCGATCGATCGTAAAACGAGTAAAAAATGACTCGCGTCGCTTAAGCTTCTTATTTATCGAAAATACAGGGAGGACAACAAAAGACGTGGTAATTAGCCGAGTTGCTTGTAAGCGAACAATCATCCCCGAGCAAGAGCAACTACGATAATCGTGATGGTAATAATGATGCATACCGAGCTACTCCGGCTTCCGTTCTAAGTGCTGGTAATTGGTGTCGCGTACCAATAACGGAAAGAATACGCGGAAGACAAATCGTAAGAACGTAAGGGAACGTACGGGCCGAGAGGCGAACGGTTTGTCGTTATCGTTCGCAAAAAGCTTTCGCCGAGCGACGTCGCGCAGGAAGCTGAAATGCGCTACACCAAACTTAACAGACCCCCTTAACAAGAGCGGTTTTTACCGGGCGCCTCTCGAATGCATTATATTATGGATGTCGTGAGTTATATATGACTTTATCATGCCGAACTGTTCGCGATCGCGGTTGGCCAACACGGGCCGTTGTACATCCTTCTTGATTTTTTTCCTTTCCCATCGGCGCGATATATGGAAAAAAATAAAATATTAAAAAAATATAAACTGCCTAAACCGCGCATTCTTATCAATTTCGTAATCGTATCCTCCGTAATTGATATGATCCCCTTCTTTTCTCGATTTTGCTTGTCAGTGTCGTATTGCATCGAACGTTATATTTTGAATTAGATTTTATTACGGTTGATACAAATGACAGGAATGAGTTTCATTCAATTATGCCACTTTGAAAGATACAGGGGTCCATGTAGCACTCGAGTCACTCTTATGCGTTCCCATTAGTCGCGAGATCGCGTGTCTTTCCAATATTTTCTCGTTTCTCCGACTACCATTCGTGCTGCTTTACATCGAGTATTATAAGCGTTACTTTCAATTATGCTGCTTTAACAGATAAGGCAAGGTAACTTAGCAGGTAACTTGCTCTTGCACGTTTATATCAATTTTATGCTTGCGTATCTTCTTAATATTCTCCCTTTCTCTTCGTCACAAACATCGCATTGTTCATTGTTATGCCACTTTGAAAAATGAGAAACATTTGGTTGTTAATTAAATTTCTTCAAGTTTTATTATAATTTTTGTTTTCACTTGTTGCAAAATTGATTCTATCTCTTGCGCAACTATGGAAAATTTTTGCAGATGTTGTCCACAATTACGTTACAGAAAACGGCAATAGAATATTTTTCAGAAATGTGTATACACAATTGATTGATTATTATTTCAAGACGATCTGTCATTCTTGTTGTATGCCTATAATTATGCCACTTTGAAAACTGAGGATCGTTTGATTAATACTTTAAGACAATTCGTCATTCTCTTCGTTAAATACTTACACTGAGAAAAATGATTTGATTGGATTAATTGGATTCTAATTGAAAACGGACAAATCAGAATTTTTTGCTTAAATCTATTAAAATTTTAATTGAGGTAACCGGAATTCTGATTGATATAATCAGAATCGTCCGATTTGTTCATTTTCAGTCAGACATTTTTCTCAGTGTACCTAGTAATAAATAACGTCGCGAATCTCGAAGTTCCCGCGAGCGAAATTATATCCGCGTGTAACGAGGAACTCGCACCGTTTCCGAGAAAGAAATCTCTAAAACCATTACGGGACTCGCGGAGAGCATAAAAGTTGACGCGCGAACAGCGTGGCCGGGGAGGAGCGAGGAGCACTCTCGTTCTTTTGCAGCCCTGTGAGTACTCGGGCACTCGAGGCGGAGTACCTCGAGAAGGAGAGCGCCGATGTGCCGATTAGTCTCTGGTGCGAGAGGTGTCGGTTACACTTTAATGAAGTATTACTTTAATTGTCCATTAGGGACGGATCCGATGTAGTAATGTTCACGAGGTTCTTTACTCACACGGCAACACGGGTCTTTGCACTTCAACGTCTTTTTCCATTAGAGGAATCTTCCACTCGCTTAGACAAATGGTGATGACTACAATTGTGGAAGAATTAGTAACGCGAGGACCAACCGGGTGCATTGTCGTTGCGATCGATATCGCATTTTGATCGCGAAGATCCTCGACATTCTAGATTTCCTTTACTTCGTCACGTTTTGCGTTGAATAAATTATAATCCAAGCTGATGTTACATATAGATAAATGTTACATAAGCAGTAATATTTTAACGATAGATGAATTGGCAAGTTGAGAATTATCGAAAATGTCAGGTGATCATTTTAAAATTTTTGCAACGAATCGTCAATTTGCTCGCTGCTTAAGTTTTATCGCTTGCTGGTTTTTTTCGTGTCATTATTAGCTGTACAAAGTACATATCATTTCAATTCGTGTCTTGTTTGCAGCAATCGAATTTCCTTCGGGTGATCGCTAATCGCATGCGATTAGAGAGAGAGAGAGAGAGAG